TTTTAATTGAAAGATGGGTTAATTCTTTCCTCTCTTTGATTTATTTCTTCTTATGATTGATTTGCATGATTACTTGATGTATTCTTTTATCTCAATCATGTGTGAGTAGATTTCTTGTCTAGGATTGAGAAAGAACCTAACTTTTTGGTGATTGATGATGAATTAATATATGTTCTTGATGAAGGTTTAAATCTTTAAACTTGATTTCTTGTGTTTTAATTTTGTTAATTCGTTTGATCACCGTATTAGCAATCATAGGTAATTAATTGAAGAACTGAAAGGTGAAGATTAATACCGGACCTCTAGAAATTAAGCAAGGTTTTTGAACTACGAAAGTAGGCTAGATTCCTTGGGGATTTAATTTGGATTAGCATAAAACTTAATGGGTTTAATTTATTCTTGATTCCACGAAAGTAGGTTAATTGAGATTAATTAGGCATGATCTTTAGACTTTGAAAGAGACTTTAGATTAATTTAGGCTAATTCGCTCTTTCTAGTTTAAACCGACACCAAGAACTAAAATAATTCATCATTGAGCATCGAAGTTGTGGTGAAAACCCAATCCTGACCATTCATTATCTTGGAACTAAAATAATTCATCATTGAGCATCGAAGTTGTGGTGAAAACCCAATCCTGACCATTCATTATCTTGAATTCCACCTGGTTAGCTATTTAGCATCGAAGTTGTGGTGAAAACCCAATCCTGACCATTCATTATCTTGAATTCCACCTGGTTAGCTATTTATTTTATTTCTTTTAATTTTCATCTCTTCTAATTTACTCATTAGTTTAGCTAGTCAAATAACATGAAATTTGGTAATTAACCCCTAGTCCATGTGGGATCAACCTTGATAGCTACAACGAGTCTGTGCGCTTGCAGATTTTGCCTATCAATATGTCACCGTTATTAGGTGATAGCGTAGCGGGAAGAGAAGGACCGCTAACGCTATTAGCGGGGCTATTTACCGCTATTTATAACAGTGACGGTGACCTCATCGGTGACGAGAATAAGATCAACGGAACATGACTTCAGTGAGAGTCATGCCCATGGTAGATCAAAATCAAGAAGTAAGAAGAATATCAAATGCTATAACTATGACAAAAGGAGACATGTGAAATCGGAGTGCTGGCACAATAGGAAAAGTGATGATAAAAAATCTTTAGAACCATCAACATCTCAAGGATGTGTTATCAGCAAATCAGATGATGGTGAAATTTTATACGATGGAGCAATCACTATTGATGAAGACAGAAAGAGGTTTGTCGATGTCTGGTTCTAGATTAGCAACCTCATGGCACATGACCTCCCGGAAAGAATAGTTTTACAAATATAAACCCATCTCAGGGGGAATCTGTATTTATGGGCAATGATCATGCCTTGAAATTTTCTGGTATTTACACTATCAAAATCAAAATATTTGATGGTATAATACGTACCATTCAAAATGTATGACGTGTGAAAGGATTGAAGAACAATCTATTGTCTTTAGGACAATTAGATGAGCTCGGATGCAAGACCCATATAGAAAATAGAATCATAAAAATTGTTAGATAGGCGCTTATTGTGATAAAAGGAGAAAAAATAGCTGCAAATCTATACATATTCAATGGAAAAACCCTGCAGGAAGCTAATTCAAGTGTAGCATCAACTAGCTATGGAGAAAAACAAACCATGATATGACATCGTAAGCTAGGCCACATGTCAGAACGAGGCTTGAAAATTCTCTCCGATCAGAATCTACTTCCTGGGCTCAAATCGGTAGCTCTTCCCTTCTGCAAGCATTGTATTACAAGTAAACAGTATCGGCTAAAGTTTAACACATTGAGTTCTAGAAGCAATGTTATTCTTAAATGGTTCATTCTGATGTATGACAAGCACCAGTTACATTAATGGGAGGAACAAATTACTTTGTGTCATTTATTGATGATTATTCCAGAAGATGTTGGGTGCACCCTATCAAGAAGACAGATGTGTTCTCAGTCTTTAAAGCTTACAAAGTGTGAGTCGAGCTTAAATCTGAAAAGAAGATTAAGTGCTTGAGGACAAATAATGAAAGAGAATACACATACGGTGAATTTCTTACATTCTGCGAGCAAGAAGGCATCAAAAGACAATTCAGTACCGTATACACTCCTCAACAAATTGAAAGAGCGGAGCGGATGAACAAAACTCTATTGAGAAAAACAAGAGCAATATTGATAATTGTAAATCTAGATAAAGTTTTTTGGACGGAAGCAGTTAAAACCGTCTATTATGTGGTAAATCGATTTTCATCAACCGCAATACACTTAAAGACGTCGATGGAGATGTGGACCGACAAGTCAGCTAATTATTCCAATCTCTATATATTTAAAATTCTAGTGTACGTAATGTACAATGCCCAGGAAATTACAAAGTTGGATTCAAAATCAAGAAAATACATATTTTGGGGTATGCTGACGGAGTAAAGGGGTATCGTTTGTGAGATCCCACTACCCGCAAGGTCATCAACAGAGATGTTATCTTTGTAGAGAACCAACTGTAAAGAGAAGAAAAAAATATTTCAAGAAAGGGCTCAGAGACTGTAACTATTCAGGTAGAACATAATTCAAATACTTCTAAAGCGACACCGGAGCATGATGTATAAGAATCAGTCGAGTTCGAGACTCCAGAAGTTCAAAGGTCAACTCGTGAGAGAAGACCACCGACTTGGCACTCGGAGCATATTACAGAGAGTAATATTGCATACTATCTTCCAACAGAGGATGGTGAGTCATTAACTTTTCATAAAGCCACAAAAAGCACAGATGCATCTTTATGGTGGCAGCAATGCAAAAAAAATTAAAGCTCTTCATAAGAATAAGACTTGGGTACTTGCGTCACTATCATAAGAAAGAAAGACAATTGAAAACAAATAGGTCTATCAGAATCAAGTAAAATGACGATGATCAAGTGGAGCGTTATCGTATTAGATTGGTAGTAAAAGGATATGCTCAGCAAAAATGTATTGACTTTAATGAAATATTTTTTCCTGTAGTTCGACTTATAACAGTCTAAATAGTCCTCGCTATGAGCGTTATATTTGACTTACATCTAGAACAGCTAGATGTGAAAACAACATTTTTTGATGAAGATCTTGAAAAAAATTACATGTTTCAACCAGAAGGTTTTGAAGAAAAAAAAAGAGAACTTGATTTCTACGTTAAACAAATCTCTGTACGGTCTAAAGCAGGCGCCGAGATATTGGTACAAGAGATTTGATTAATTCATCATGAGCCTTGGATACAACAGACTTAATTTAGATCATTGTGCATATTTTAAGAGGTTTGGTGAAAATAACTTTATTATTTTATTGTTGTATGTTAACGACATGTTAGTTGTAGGCCCCAACAAATATCGTATCAAAGAATTAAAGGCATAATTAGCTAGAGAATTTGAAATGAAGGACTTAGGATCTGCAAACAAGATTCTAAGAATGTAAATTTACTGACACAGAATTAATAGGAAAATTTAGCTTTCTCAGAAAAATTATTTGAAGAAAATCTTATAACGCTTCAGCATGCAAGATTGTAAGTCAATTTCTACCTCACTTCCTGTTAATTTCAAGTTATCCTCCACTATGAGTCCTAACAGTTAAGAAGAGAGGGAGATGTCTCGAGTACCGTATATATCAGCAATGAAAAATCTAATGTTCGTTATGATTTGTACAAGACCAGACATTGCACAAACAATGTGAGTGGTTAGTCAATACATGACGAATCCTAATAAAGAGCATTGGAATTCTGTAAAGAGGGTCCTAAGATATATTAAAGGATCCTCAAACATTGCATTATGTTATGGGAGATCAGATTTTATTGTCAATGGATATAATTGAGAATGATACTGAAAGGACTCGGGCAAGAACAAAAAAAATTCTCTATTTTGTGACAGCCAGAGTGCTTTATATTTGACAAGAAATCCAGCCTTTCATTCAAAGATAAAACACATTCGAGTTCAATACTACTTCGTTCGTGAAAAAGTGAAAGAAGAAACAGTGGATATGCAGAAAATTCACATAAAAAATAACCTAATAGATATTTTTAACAAAAATAGTCAATACTGTAAAATTTATTTGGTGTCGATCCTTTTGTGATCTGTCAGAGACGTGAGCAACATGAAGATGACAAGATAAAGAATGGTGTGAAGATATGATTGATACTCAATTAAATCTTTAAGTGGGAGATTGTCAGTCATAATTTTGAAAAAATAAAAAAGATGACGGGCCCCATATTAAATGCACCGAAAGAAGAGCTGCATGAAAGAAAGAAAAAATATTATAAAATTAAGAATAGTGTTTATCAATTGCCTATAAATAGGCCCAAAACTCTTCAGGAAAAACACATCCCAACAATAAATTCCAATCTTCGAAGAGTGAGAGAAAGAATTAAAGAGAGTTTTTTCTTGTAAAGAAAGATTGTAACTCCTAAATTTTCTTATAGTGAATTTTTCTATTCTTGCCCATGCTTTTTACCCCAAATCTTTTACGGAGTTTTCCACGTAAAATCTGTGTGTTCACTTTATTACTTTTGCACTATTATTCGCTGCGATCCTGCTCTAGTAGGACCCGGTTTTTCCAACACTACTGTTATTTGGCTTGTTTCAAAAGAGTGCATGCAATAGTTTTTTCGCTGATAAACAAGGATATCATTTTGATTTTGATTCACAGTTGACACCATTAATTCTTTGTTTTTTTTTCTTGGCAAGGATATCTTCCTTCATAAAAGCAAGAGGAAACTTCTGTGAGCTGCAGGACAAGAGTTGTTGCACAAATGAAAGCTAAATAATTGAGGAGCAGTACCGATGGTACCAATGTTCAGCAGAGTGCAAGACTGAATAACATGTGGCATGCTAATGTTAGTAGCAGAGGACTTTGATAACACAAAATGAAGCCAATGGGTTATTTAAATCATAGCTTAAAACGTCCACTTTTTTCACGTTTCCTATTTACCAATAAAGATGAATTTTATCGGATAAAATTACCTCCAAAATCTCATGGGTCCTCTTCATATTCATCCTACAAAGATCCTCGCACTTAATCTTCACCAACTCTGACCTCCTCCACCGTTCATGGATCCCGTTCACAATCCCCTCCGTAATCCCAGCTTTTCCAACCTTCAACCTCTTCTCTAGCCTAATCCCAACCCTCCTCAGCCTCTTCAGCTCCGCCGCCGGAATCGTCAGCTCCGCCACCGTCGGCATGTTCCCCTCCTCCTTCTCCTTCCTCCTCAGCTCCCTTCCCTCCTCCTTCTCCATTCTCCATAGCTCTCGAAACCTCCTAATCCCAGTTCCAGGCTCAGGTACTGGATTCTCCGGCAAGCTCCAGCTGGAGTCGATCGTGTGGCCGACGCGGTGCTTGGGGAGCTCGTGAGGGGTAGGGATGAAGATCTCGCCGGCGGAGGTGAGGTTAGGGTTAGTGTTAGGGTTAGGGTTAGGGGGGAGGTAGCCGAGGCTGCGGAGCTTGTCGGAGATTCGTTGGATGGCGGAGGTGGAGGCGGTTTCGGGTCGGGTTGAGAGGGAGGAGCGGGGGATGTTGGGTTTGAGGGGTTTAGGGGTTTTGGAGGGGAGGGGAAGGGATGGATGAGGGTGTGGGAGGGAGAGCAACATTTGAGAGCGGTGGCGCTTGAGAACACTCGGGGAAGGAACAGTTGAGATAGAGAACGGAGGAGGAGATAGGGGTGAGTTCAATGGGGTCGGATCTTGTAAGATCCGATCGGGATCCAAAACCACTACAGCACGATTCAAGATCCGAAATCCAAACCCATTGAGATAGGGTTTAATTCAGGGTGGGGGGGGTGCGAACGGGTCGGATAGGATATGTTACTTATTACATCCATATCCGTTTATCAAGCATGGTTACAGGTCTTACAAGATTGGTAACAAGCTATAATCTTTTTTTTTTGGAAAGATATTTGTTGAGATAGCGTAATAATAATAAAAATTCTAACTGTAGGTGACGAAGACTCTTTATTTGTTACCTATCGTGGTTACAAGATTGCTTTCCAAAGATCATTGGTGACTTTTCATTAGTCAAAGATACTGAAAGATGTAATTTCAACGGACATCAAAACGCATGAATTTTTACTTACTATGAGGACTTGTAAATTTGTTCTCGCACAATGCCTCATACGTTATGTATGAGAGCGCCAAATAAGTAAAATTGAAGAAGAAAAAGAACATATATCATTATCATCGTAGTAATTGTTAGGAAATATGAGCTGTTTAGATAGTAATTAACACGAATTAAGTTTTAAACAGTTAATAGAAATTAGATAAAAACAAATAACTATTATATCTCAGAAATATAATCAAATGAAAGTAACTAAAAGTTAGAAATACGGCCTAATGGTCGAGGCGTGCAAGCACTGTCCCAAGTGTTGCGCCTCGATGATCCAAACCAATCCCCGAGAAAAGATAAACCAACACACCAAATCAATAGCACAAACAATCAAACACCAGTTTTACGTGGTTCGGCAAGATGCCTACGTCCACGGGGCAAGGAGAGGGGAGTTTTCACTATTAGAAACAAGAGGATACAACTAGGGTTACAAATCTCTCACCAAAAACCCACAACAACTCACTCTTGATCGATCCATCACGGTCGACCGGGTCGGTCAACCGCCCTCCATCCAGCAGCAAGCCCAAAAGGTCCAGAGAGTACGGCGGTCGACCGCGTCGGTCGACCGCTACCATCTTCGGTCGACCGCGTCGGTCGACCGCCACCAATCCTGATGCCCAGAAACTCCTGTGCACGAACGCGGTCGACCGGGCCGGTCGACCGCCACCCTGACAACCTGAATCCTGAGCCTAGAACCTGATCTCTGCCAATTCTACAAATCTCCACCTCGACGAAGATTTCCCAAATCTGAGCCGACACCGAACAAACCAATGCCTCAACTGTTGCATCCAATATGCCATGGCAACGGACTCATGACAACGGACCCCATCCACAACACGTCGAGACCCAAACGGGAGTACGAACACTCAACCCCAAAACCAACTGTGTCTACTCTCCAAATCGAACTGAGCCTACACCGACTACACCAAATGTCTCACTTGCTGAGACCCAAATGGGAGTGCGAACACTCACCCCAAATGTCGATGTCACTCACCAAATCGGCTGCATCAGAAAACTGACTGCCTACGTATCCTCTCCAAGGAATCAAGCCTTCACGTAGTTCACCTTTGGCCTCCAAAGGCCCTCAATCCATCTTGCGGCTGATAGCATCATCAACGACCCCAAACTGAAGCGATCCGAACACCTCCACCTGAGGTGAAACAATGGCCGTATCCAAAAAATATCCACCAGCTGCATCCAAGTCAACCACCTCATCATCTGCCCCCATAAATAAATGACTCCCACGCTGTGCCACCTCAGCTGGAATCCCAACCAATGCAGAATGACCTGGAGTATGTGGGAAAATCCCCACCCAATGTGGAGTAGCATCAACCTCCACCCGCTGCGATATCCCTCTGACCTGATCAATACTCTCCACCTGCCGAGAGTCCAAAGTGACAAACCTGCTCAGGCCAAACTCAGAAGCTCCCCACTGATAGCCGAATGAACTCCTGAATCCCAAATGCGCAATCGGATCCAATCTCACATCAGCGATGTGACTAAGTGCTGGGTAGCCCAATATCCGACGCCAAACAAAATCTGAAGCAGCTTCACCAGATCTAACAACTCTATACGCAGCAGTCAGCAACCTCATAAGATGACCCAAACCTGTCGAAGCCTGAATACCAGATCTACTGCTCGATAACCAATACCGATCCTCCTCTAGAAAAGAACGGCTCACTGAATCCGTCATCTCATCACGTCGCCCCAGTGTCTCCTCTCCTCTGAAGTGTCTCCAACTGCCATGAGCTCGGCACCAATGCAAGAAAGGACTCCTACTAGAATAAGTACGACTGGTAACCTTTCTGCCCATACACCTCCTCCAACTGTTGCGGACTACTAGGGCTTTATACCAACGGGACTTGGTTATAACCCAAATATGCCTAGTACAATCCCCAACATAGGAAACAAAATAACGATTACCTCCCGATGATGCCTCCTCGGAAAGCCCCCCAATGCCTGACTGAACACCTCCAATAAGACCCCTCAATCGGTGGATAGAAGTGCTGAACTCCACCTCGGTCTTCTCACTCATCCTAATGTGCTCACAGGACTTCAATCTGCAGGTCATATCACTCCTCAACAATCTGTGCACGGTATAACCAACAATATATCCCAGCACCAAACAATGCCACAGTCTAGCCATAGAAGTAGTCAGCGCCCTATCAACTACCGTGCTCCCAAGTAGATAATACAAGTTACTCCGCCTGACTCCCTTCATCACTATCACGGACCCCGATGTGACCTTCAAGCGAGAATCCGCCAAAGTCACCATATAGCCTGCTGCCCCCAATACCCCAAGTGAAATGATGTTCTTCCTCAGTTGACGAACAAACCTCACATCAGCCAACTCCCGGATCATCCCGTCACTCATCCGAATCCGAACGGTACCAATACCACCAATAGGGCATCTGTGATCATTACCCATGAGAACAGCATCCCCTCTTTCCAACTCCTGAAACCCATGAGAACAGCATCCCCTCTTTCCAACTCCTGAAAGCTGGAGAACCAATCCCTTCTAGGGCATATGTAGTAAGTAGCACCAGAATCCAACATCCACTCGGTGGAGTCGGCAACATTAACTGACGGAAGAGCTGGGCATGAATAGCCCGAAGAATCTGAATCTGAAACATCGCCACTAGCCTTGGCAACATTTACCTCTGAAGCTTGAATAGCTTTCCCTTTATTCTTCACGGCTTGCAATTTTGGGCATTCGTCTTTCCAATGTCCATCCTCTCTACAAAAGGCACACTGATTCCTACCAACTACAGGATGCCCCCCTCTAGACTGCGATCTTCTCCCACGGTTTGGACTTTTAGCTCTTGTAACCAATGCCCCCGCAACCGGCTCAATGGAAGTCTCCTTGTCCTTCTTTCGAAGTTGATAGTTCACAAGGGCTGCGCTGACCTCACTATACGAAAGAGATGCCTTCCCATTAATAAGAGTGAGGACGAAGGTTTCATATTCCTCATCGGGCAAGGAACTCAATAACAACAATGCTTTATCCTCATCTTCAACAATGACATCTACGTTCGCCAAATCTGCAAGTAGCTTCGTGTAGTGGTTCATGTGATCACTAATGGATGTCCCCTTCTTCAATTGGAAGCGATAAAGCCTCCTCTTCAAATACAAACGATTTTTGACGCTCTTTGTCAAATATTTGCCCTCTAGGACCTCCCAAATCTTCTTTGCCTAAGTTTCATTCATCACATCATATTTTAGATCTTGGGTAAGGCAAGACCTAATCACACCACAAGCCGTTCTATTCATTTTATTCCAAACCTTTTCATCCATGTTGTCCGGTTTCCCGTCCAACTCTAATGTATCTTCTAAATTTTGCGCATTTAGCGCATCCATGACTTCACATCTCCAAAGTCCAAAATTATTTGTGCCGTTGAACTTTTCCACATCTATTTTCATAGAATGTATATTCAAACTTTGGATGGCCCTCACACTAGAAGAACCCTCCCCATGTTTATCCTTTCCGGTCATAATCTCAAAGCACCCAAACAATTGCGGAACAAACAAGAAAATAGATCCAACTTAAAAAAGATAGAAACTTTACCACAAAGATCCCACCTTTATCACCAATCGAAGCTCTAGATAAACTTCCCAACTAATCTATACCTCCAAAAAGCCCAAGCGTTGCCCGGAGCTCTGATACCACTTGTTGCGCCTCGAGGATCCAAACCAATCCCCGAGAAAAGATAAACCAACACACCAAATCAATAGCACAAACAATCAAACACCAGTTTTACGTGGTTCGGTAAGATGCCTACGTCCACGGGGCAAGGAGGGGGGAGTTTTCACTATTAGAAATCAAGAGGAACAAACTAAGGTTACAATCTCTCACCAAAAACCCACAACAACTCACTCTTGATCTCTCCAAATGCTCCTAGAATAGAAGCCCAAAGAAAACCCCTTTCAACAGCTCAAATCTCCTGCTCTCAAACCCTAGAGACACCCTCTAGGTATTTATACCAATCCCAAACGAAACGGGTCTGGAAACAGAACCAGACCCGAAACCACTGCGACAGTCGACCGTGGGGGTCGACCGCGATCCATCGCGATCGATCGCCACGGTCGACCGCCCTCAATCCCAGAACAGCCTCAAAATCCAGAAACTTCTGCGGTCGACCGCCAACGGTCCAGACGCACAGTGAACCCTAATTCTACACCAAGAATCTAATTGCCCCCTCTCGTATAGGGCTACGCGGCAAAAGTTCCTGGAGATACAACGACCCTCGGTCAGGCGACCTCCTTCTCGTCGGCACGAGCTTCAAGAAGGCTTTGCGAATACTTCTCGACTTTTAGGGAACCAACAAATCGTAACAGTAAGCAAATGTAAGAGGAAGAACAGAGAAGAATGAGAAGAGCTTATTTGTAATTCGATGTGTTAAACTCTTCGGATTTTAGATCCTTTTATAGGGAAAAACAGCCGTTACTCATAAATCTCGTAATTAACACGTTTTAATTACTCACCCATGAATGTATTAACGTTAGCCGTTTTTTGTCATTTAAATCCATAAATCCGCGGTATTTTAATTATAACAGTTACAAAATATTTAATCCTAACCGTTACAAAATGTTTATCACATGTTAATTGTTCAAAAATAAATATTATATTTTAATTATTCAAAAATAAAAATGTAGCAGATT